GGCAGATTTCGTAAATTCGATCGAAATTTCTGAGCCGGTGGACTTTTCAGTTGTTTGCTCGATAATTTTCCTGGTTGGGAATTGGGAAATGCAAAAACCATGTGCTCGGCTCGGCAATAACATCTCTCGAGAACTGAAAGAGATACGAGATGGTTAAAAACACGAGAACGGCACGCGAGATATCGTGATTATGATTGGCAATCAGAAGGACTAATGAAAAGGCGCCACGTATCTGTCTTAGACAGATGTACAGTGCAGTGTGGTACTGATGGGTGAAACAAATTGTTTTAAGAGCGGTGAGATGAATGACACGTGTACGAAGGAGGATGAAAAGGAGGATCGGACGGCTACGATGTGGTGGAGGGTACGTGGTGGCGCGTGGACAGTCTGGCAGCATTTTAAGTAGGTGGGGAGAGGGATGTGCGAAATGAATAAAAGCTGTCAATAAATACAAATTTGTCTACCTCCTTATTATTCCTCTCTCCCTCATTTTTTAATAATAAATATATTAATTATAAATTTATTTTCTCAACTGTTAAATGTACTAAAAAATAAATTATGAATATTAAAAGATGTACTCTTTTGAACTTTTTACTTTTTCTATATTTTTAATTATGAGTACATTTATTAATTTTAAAAAATATAATATGTTAGGAAAATGTAGTTGTAATTATAATTACCTTTTGAAATATTTTTATTATTAAGCGACTTAACAAAATTAAAAATTGAGAAATTAAATACCATAAGTACAAAAATTTCAATATTTAAATTACAATTTTACTGAAATTGTAAAAGTAAAATTTTTTATTTATCCAAACGGAGATTTTAATATCTAACCTTAAAAAAAAAAAAAGAAATATAAAAGAAAATTAAAGTGAAACGTGGGCCCAAATAGTGCCACCTGTACTCTCGGTAGGGACCATAATAAAATGAAGAGGCATGGGTTACCATATCTATATTTAATATTATTTAAAATATTTCAATACATATTTAACCGATTTAAATATCATTTAAGTTTTAAATATGTATTTTAATTAATGCGTATAATTTATTTAATTCTTCTAGTTTGAATGTATCAATACAATAAATATGTTTTTTAAAGTTAAATTTAACCCTTCAAATTAAATATTTTTTTAAATTTATCTAATATTTTAAATATTAATTTAAATACACAGTTAACTAATCCATTTTCATTTATTAACTATAAATCACCCTTGCAATGTTTTGACGGAAGAATGACTAAGTCATTGATCATCTAATAAACAATTTACTTATAATTCAATTATTAACTAAGTCTCTCGGGGCAATGAGAGAATGAGACTCCATTGTTCAAGTTCTAAAATCGACACGTAAGAGAACTAATCATTTACTTGTCCTTATACGAAAATGAGTGAATTTAATCTCTTGAACTATGTTCCCAAGTTTCTATTTGGTCACATTTTAAAAATAGTAAACTTATTAAATCGACTACAAATCTCGTTATCACCCATGCAAATCAAAGGACAAACTCTCATATAACTCACTTAGAAATAAGATCGAGTTGCATATGACCATCTTGTGAAATATTAATTATTTCAATTAACAAATTCATAGATAAATTAAATATTTTGTGATCGGATTGTATAGAATATTCATACTCACATGTCTCCACATTAACATTTCCAAATCATTTGTAATAATTTACAAAGTGGGCTCTATAAATAAGGTTAACAAGGTAAAACACTCAAATTTATATGTATATAATAATACTGTGATTTGTGAATATTTGATATTTTAATTATTAATACAACGGTATTGTAGATAAATAGAACAACTCAATAATCAAAACCCAATAAATAGACTATTGGGTTGAGAACTTCATTCAGTTGCTCTGATCATTAGTCCAACCAACCCAAAAATTTAGGTCCGTAAAAAAAAAGATTTATTCAAACTAAATCTAAAAAGAATTAATATTCCTAAATCAAAATCAGGTGGGCACCACATCTTTGTTATTATTTTCCTTTTTCCAAAAGGTACGAACAAAAAGTGACCTAATTTTGAGGACTTCGCCCCTTTTCAACTTTAAACATAATATATAATTGTATTTTTATAACTAAGTTTTGAAGTCTGTGTTCATACTTCCTTTTTTTAAAAAAAGAAAAACCTTTTAATTTATACAATATGTCTGCAGAATTGATTTTTTTTTTTTTTTTTTTTTTTTTTTTTTTTTTTTTTTTTTTT